GAGAGAGAGAGAGAGAGAAAGACGGCGCGTGAAATAAATATCAAGACAATAATACAAAGAATAGATTTGCCTAGTCTTTATATTGTCTTTATATTTATCACTTATAATCAGTGTGCTTGTAATATATATATATATATATATATATATATATATATATATTTATATTTATTTATTTATTTAGTTAGTTATTTTATTTATACGTACCTGGAACTCGTGCGGCTTGGTCTGCTGGCCTGCCGCGTTCAGCGCCGCCTCGCGGAGAAGTTGTGCGGCTAGCTCTTGTTTTTCCGTGGCGGTGAGTTTATGCAGTTCTGCGTTCAACACACGTCTGTTAACTACCTTAGACCTGAAATAAATAACCATGAAAAATTATGAGAATCATGAGAAAATCAATTATAATAAAGAATAATAATAATAATCAAATAATAAATATTATTATTATTATTATTATTTCCAATGTGCAGAAGAACGGGATGACGACCTCGTTGTTAGAGATCGCTTCGTCGCCTGCGACGTCATGTGTGGAGAGAATAATTTATTATACATATATATATATATATATATAGGCTATATATATATGTGTGTGTGTATGTGTGTGCGTGTGTGTGTGTTTGTGTGTGTGTGTGTGTGTGTGTGTGTGTGTTGTGTGGTGTGTGTGTGTGTGGTGTGTGTGATTGTGGGTGTATGTGTGTGCGTGAGTGCGTGCGTGCGTGAGTGCGTGCGTGAGTGCGTGCGTGCGTGAGTAAGTGCGTGCGAACCTACAGAGAAGTCAAGGGTCTCGAATCCAAGGCAGACATGCTGTACCTATCCAGCTTCTCAACACCTCGTTGCTAGGGGCCATCACCCATGACGCCTTGCCATCTCGTAGCAGCCTTTCCAGCCCTGCACGAGCATGAAGGAGATATTATCGATTATTCATCGATCAGGTGATCAGAGTTTCGATCTCTTTTGTGGTTCGTATAACGTTTAACGCGTATACACACACACACAAGCACGCGCGCTGCGCACACCACAACCACACACACACACACACACACACACACACCACACACCCCCCCCCATCTCACACACACACACACGCATCACACTACACGCGCGCGCTCCAACAAACACACACACACACAGCACACACATACACACACACACACACACACACACACACACAGCACACGCACACACACACCCACACACATACACGCGAACAACCACACATCAAGGGCACAACAACCAAACACACGCGGCATACAAACCACACACCACAGCCCACACACACACACACACCACACACACACAACACCACGCGGACCGACATCCAAACACACCAACTACAACACAAACACACGAACCCACACGCACAAACACACACACACAACACACACGTACTATACACACGTCGCACACACCACACACACACACACACACACACACACACACACACACACACACACACACACACACACACACACACACACACACACACACACACACACACACACACACACACGTACACATACACACACACGCGCGCGCACACACACACACAACTACAAACAAACAGGCACACACTCACATCCCCCACACACGTACCCAGCTCTAGCTTGTAACCCGTCCCCCCGCAGGCATGCAGCATCTTGTCAACAACCTTGGTGACATTGTTGGCGGAGACGTATTTCGTCTGCCAGCCCACGTGAAGAAAATCCTTCGTCCTGAAATTGATTTAATATATTACAGGGCCCCCAGGGGGCGCGGCCGTACACCCAGGAGGGGTGCTGCTATCCCCCGGGCGTGAAATCTCTCAGACATATAGGTTGGGAAGATAAAACATAGATATGCTCAAACATATCTGATAGTATTTGAAATGATTGACACTATAACAATATGATATAATATAGCACAATACGATCAATATGATATAATATTGATATCGTACGTGATTTATTTTTATTATATTATTGCTTCATAATTATAAATATATTTATTTATTTATCATAATAATTAAATTATTAATTATTTATATTATAGAAGAAGAATTGCATTATTATTTTTTTACTTATTATTATTAGTTTTACAATTATTTTTAGTATAATATTATGTAGTATGCGATCTTTCTCTAAGTTTACCTCGGTTGAACGTTGAGGTCCTTATGAATGCTCCAGTCGCAGTTGTTGGTGACATTATCCATGCCCGTTGCCATGGCAGTGGTGAACGCTCGACTTGCATTAGTCTCCGAAAGACAGTCGCCAAAATAGTCCTAGAGAATGATGCGCGTAATAATGTATAGTTAGCTATTTATACTGAAAACTAAGTTGAATTAGATAAAGTTATTCCAGTTAATTAAATAATACAATTAATTCATTAGCAATGTTGTAGGTCACTATATTTATACTTGTTTATTTATTTCATTTATTTCTATATTTATTCGGATTTTTCTACTTTCTTTCTTTCTTTACTTTATTTGTTTATTTTTTCATTCATTCTTTGATTCAATCATATATTTATTCACTCACTCATTAATCAATTTATTTATTCATTAATTCCTTTATTCATTCCTTTATTCATTCATTTATTCATTTATTCACTCATTAATTAATTCACACATTGACAGATTCATCAATTCATCCATCTATCCTTCCATCCTTCCATACTTGGCGCTACCTTGACTTGACCTTGACGTGACCCTGACGTGACCTTGACCGGCGCTCACCTGTATCGTCACGTAGTCGGCGACACGCAGCGCTGTGTCTCCGTGCTCCTTGCCGACGACGTGTCGCTTGGCGACGTCCATGGCGCCCATGGCGATGCCGTTCCAGACAGCCGACGACAGAATGTAGAAGAAGGGAACGACGACCTCGTTGTTGGAGATCGCTCCGTCGCCTGCCGACGTCATGAGAATAATTCATTATATATGTGTTTGTATGTGTGCGTGCGTGCGTGTGTGCGTGCGTGCGTACGTACGTGCGTGCGTGCGTGCGTGCGTGCGGGCGTGCGTGCGTGCGTGTGTGTGTGTGTGAATCTTTCTGTATCTCTCTCTCTCTT